CCTTTTGTGAAGTTCTCCCTTTATCATTTCAAAACTGGCTGCTCGTTTTTTCAGCGCTGCCGCCTGATGATGATTATCCGGCAGGGTACCGTTTGTCAAATATGCCCTGATTGGATCCATCCAGGTTGAGCTTCTGTCTAGGATTCCAATAGGGTCTTCCTCGATGCTTCTTTTCTCCATTACTTCCCAAAAAACGGTTCGATGAGTATCACAAGAGGCGGACGATGCTAATTTTGAAAGTGCATCCGCCTGGTTGTTTTCTGATCTCGGCACTTGAGTCAGATGGAAATTTTCAAGGGAACCGACTGCCTGTCGTACCGCCTGTAAATACTTGATCATGGCTGGATGGGTTGCTTCGTATTCGCCATTATACTGACTCACTATCAATTGTGAATCGAAAAAGGCGTTTATCTTTCGTGCCCCTGCCGCCTTGCACATGCGTATTCCGGCTAGTAAAGCTTCATATTCTGCCTCATTGTTTGAAGCCTGAAAACTGAAGCGTAGAGCATATTCGTACCTGTCGCCTTCTGGCGACTGACATATGACGCCTGCTCCACAACCATTTGAAGTAGAGCTTCCATCCACATATACCTTCCAGACTTGGTCTGGATCTTGAGAATCAGGGGGACGAGTCATCTCAACAATAAAGTCGGCAAAGGCTTGCCCTTTCACTGCTTCTCTAGGCTCGAAAGCAACTTCGAGGCTCTGAATTTCTATGGCCCATTTGATCATCCGGCCTGACGACTCCATGGTGGTCAGTGGCCGCTTGATAAGTTGATCTGTATACACGATGACTGCATGTGCCAAAAAGTAGGGCTTCAAATTTTTAACAGCCATGAAGAGTGCAAGACCAAATTTCTCCACTAAGGGATACCTCAACTCGGCATTTTTCAATACATGACTGACAAAGTAGACCGGGAGCTGACAGCCGTCTCTTTCAGCAAGAAGAACAGCTCTTAACGCATGATCAGAGACGGCCAGGTACATGTAGAGTACTTCTTTGGGCAAAGGGCTGACCAGCCTTGGCAAGGAATGCAAGTGAACTTTCAATTTCTAGAAGGCCGCCTCAGCATCTGGCCCCCATTCAAACCTTGCCTTCTTCTTAATGGCCTGGAAGAAGTATAAGCATTTATCGCCTGATCGACTTAGAAGTCTTCCCAAGGCCGCCAGACAACCTGTTAATTTCTGAACCTCTCGGACGGTACGAGGCGACTGCATAGCGATGACCGCCTGCACCTTCTCTGGGTTCGCCTCTATTCCTCTCTGATTGATAAGGAATCCGAGAAATTTCCCAGACTCAACTCCAAATACACATTTCTTGGGATTGAGCATGACATGGTGCCGCCTGAGTGTGGCGAAAGTTTCTCGGAGGTCCGACAGATGATTTGTCTGAAGCTTAGACTTGACAATCATATCATCAATGTATGCCTCGACGTTTCTCCCTATTTGATCAAAGAACACAGTGTTTATCATTCGCTGGAAGGTGGCCGGGGCATTCTTAAGACCGAACGGCATAACCGTGTAACAGTATAACCCTTGATCAGTGACGAAGGTCGTCTTCTCCTGATCTTTCTTCCATAAAGGAATTTGATGGAAACCAGAGTAGGCGTCCATAAAGCTCATCAAAGCATGGCCGACTGCCGCCTGCTGGCTTTGAGGAACGATGCCTAGGAGCCGGTTGTTCAAGCATAGGTTTCATAAAGCTGGCTGTATTGAGGCAGTTGGGAGCCTTGTATTTTGACGCCTGCTTTCATTAGTTTAGCGAGGACACTAGGTGTAGTTAAACAGCCAAAGGCTTGACTAGCTAGGTGCATCTCTGTGCTCAACCACTAATGCCGGCTGTAGCCTAAGGCCGGCTTGGCTTGTGCGAGCGCCTCAATGGTGGACTGGCAACGAGGGCCGCCTATTCTGAAAATTTACAAACGACTTCTCAAATTCAGGCGTCCATACCCATCTTGCGTATCCAGCCATGCATAACATTCTCTCGTTCTCGCATATGCTGCTTTATTAGAGCTAGCTTGAAGTTCGACATTGAGATATCGTCTTGCACATTCTCAAACAAGGAACTTTTTGGTGTTAAACGGTTTCGGACACCATTAATAACCAAGGTGCGCAGCCGGCAACCGAGAGTTTGAGTTCAACATATTACTTGCATTTTACTTGAGTTTGAGTTTGAGCTCATGCCTTTTCAACCAAGTGCCGACTGTTTTAGGTGAGTCGGTGTACTTAACACATGCGCCTGGCTGGGGCTGGGCTGAACGCCATCGGCTCTCAGCAATTTAGTTGGTAAGCTAGGCAAGTGATACAATTGGTGATAAGGCCGGTTTATTTTGCCATGATGTGTCGGCTGTCCTCATAGCGTTCTTGCCAATTATATATTAGCCGTTGTTCATTAAAGAGTGCCGGCATCTGGCTGCTCCCACAAGGTGAGTTTACTCGCCCATCGCCATATCTAGATGGTCTTCATACACTAAGTGTGAACGGTACACACTCAATCATACGCTTGTCGCTTGTATTAATCACCATAATGGTTATTGATGGTATGATGCTGCTGCTTGTATGAGAGAAAGGGGGGTTTGTTAGCTTCTCTTGATGGCTTAAAAGCCGGTGGTACAGTGCTTCCCTACATACATACAGCCGCCTAGAGGCCTACTTTGTACATACACACGAACTCATTCGACTTGGCATTTAGAGTCGCTTGTTCTTGGAGTGCCGTTTGATATTCTGCTGTTTGCCCATGATACTTCGAGATTCAAGAATCACTTAGCTTGAGGTTACATGTGGAGCATGCCGGCTTCTTTCATGGTTACGAGGACTTGTTTGTTTGAGGAGTAATAAATGCGGAAAGTAAAGGTGGGAGATCTGGTTCCTCTAGGGGAGGAGTGATCAATGTGTTTAGACTTCTCTAGGTGAGAGTCATCAATTGCTGAATCCCCTTTAATGAGGATTAATTAAGTATTTATAGTCTTGAGAAGCGTGCCAATCCTAGATTTAGGTTAACCAGGGCAAATTGGGCTTCTCTCGGACTTTGGGCCTTGGTGGCCATTTTGCCTATTTGGCATATGGGAGGCCACGTGGCGTGGCCTGATTAGTCCATGTTGGACCTCTTAGGGTGACAAGTGGCGGACACTGATTGGCCCACGTGGTGGACACGTGGCAGGTCCGGATTGGTCCATTTGTCATGGGTAATTTTTACCCTAAACAAAAAACATGCTAAATAAACTAATTTCAAGCAATAAAAAACCAAAACCCAAAAATCAATTACATAAGCTTTATGAAAATAATAAGAAATAAAGGAGGAAGAAAATAAGACTAACCTTTTTGTGTGGGGGAAAATTTGGGGATTCATGGGGTATTTATTAGAGAGAATTATAGGGTAGAATTGGGCCTCATGAAAATAATGGGCCAATTAATGAAAATAATGGGTCAATTAAATAAACAAATGGGTTAGGCTTTGTTTTTATAACAATGGATTGTAGGATATAGGTTCATAAATTAATTTAGCCTAAAATAATTTTTGACCCAATTAATAATTTGAAAATTAAATTCTAGAAAAATACAAATAAATATTATAAATAAAATAAAATTTCATTATAAAATATTTAAAAATACGGGGGATTACACTAAATATCCACAACTTGAATTGGAAGCCATCCACACAAATTCTAGCATCCAAATCATCCAAAATGTCAATGAACTTATCTTCAATTTCATAAGTAACTGTTGCTTTAATTTCTTATTTATTTTCATGCAACTGATAAATAATACTTCGTATATGTTTTCCTCTTCTCGTGACAATCTTTTAATTGTCTCATAAATTGATATTCCTTTTTTCTTCTCTTTCAAAGATTAGGTATTATTATATAGGTTTAAAAGATTCATTATTATATGATTATGTTATCAATTATTTTCATTTAGTTAGATGAGGTAATACAAAAATATTTTTCCTCATGATGGAGCTACATATCCATTCATGGAAAGTTGTATTAAGACAATGATTCGATTTGCCAGAATTTTCAAATTTAAGTTTTAAGATTCATAGAAGATTTTTATATGTCTTTGTTTGATTCGTTTTCATTGCTAATAAAAACCAACTAGTTTTTAGGACCCGACAATGCCTCTCAGGTTATTACATATATTATAATAATTGTGAATGGTATTAAAGATACATATTAAGACATGCTTTATAATTTTTTTTGCTATTAAAGACACATATTAAGACATAGTTCAATGGTTAAGTTCTTATTAATTAACCTTGAGATCAAGGGTTTGAATCTTCATATAAATCATGTTACTAAATTTTTAATTAATTAATTAATTAATAATGTGTAATGACATGGAATAATAGCCAATAACGAAAGTTGGGAGAGTGCCACGTGGCATGTAGACTTGAGTTGAAATGCCTTGGAGAGTACCACGTGGCATGTCGACTTGATTCGAAACGCCTTTTAATATATATATAGATATAGATTGCATATGTTGTGGTTTTGATTATTGAAAGTTAGTTCCCTTTATGACTTCCTTAAAAACAAAGTCTTAATGAGTAGTTTCACCGGAGAACATTTCAATGGAGGATAGAAAATTTCAAGCCACTTCAATAGAGACTAACCTCAACAACCATTTTCGGTGGCTTCATCGCCGAATTAATTGAAAATCCTAAGAAATAAATGGAGAAATAAAAAGGTATGGTTAGCCCCAAACCCAAAGGGTAGGGTTCGTCACCCTTATCCATTGAAGCTGCTCGTGAGCTTTGGTTTCTCCATTAAAGTTGCTCATGAGCTTGGAATTTTCCATTAAAGCGAAAATGGTCCTTCTTCGACATATGAATATGCCTCGTCTTAAAGATCAAGAAATCCGGAGTAAGGAGAGAGATTATAATGAAAAACATATAATTGAGAAATTCTCTTAACAGATAAAACCAAGACATGTGGTAAATTACAACTCTACAGATAAATACATATTTATCCCAAAGCATTGTCTTTTTTTTTTTTTTTTTTTTTTTTTTTTTTTACGAGTACATATGATAAAATAAATATCCCGTACATTGATACGAAAACGAGTAAAAATCCAAAGTCATTCGTGTGGCCTTGACCACTCTCTCCTAAGATAATTTTGTTGAGTCCATTTTCTCGTTTTCCATTATCATTGTTTTTTGGGTTTAATTTGTTATCTCTCCCTAACCAAACACTCACCTTATCAATTCAAAATATACCACCAAACAACAATCTCAACTGCTTTCGATTTTCCGCCATAACTCTTCTCTCTCCTCCAATTCTCCCTTCCATGTCTGCTTCAATTCCTCATGCTTCGCTCTAGAATATGGCGTCTTCTCCATCGATTTCAGGTACTCCTTCCATTCTCAATTTCAATTGTTTATCCACTATTTTTGTTCAATTTTGAGTTCAAATGAATTTTGATTTTGAGGTGTTGTTTTCAGTTTTTCTGAATTGAATTTTGAATTTGGATTTTTTTCAATGTAATTCATGACTTTTATGGTAAATGTTTCAGTTGAATGTGTGAGTGTGTGTAAGTTGAAGCTATGGAGAGGAGAAGGAAGTAATGGGAGGTATTATTGTAGTGTTGTGTCTTGTGCTTGGAAAGCTCCTAGGGCTCTTACTGGTTCTTTAGCTAGTACTACTCAGAGTTCTTCTTCGTTGTCGTTGTCGTCGTCATCATCGTCTTGGCCGAATTCTAATGGAAGATTCAACCGGCATATACATGTGAGCATCTTCCTGCTTAATGTATTGTTTGAATTGAGAATTAGTTGTTTTTTTTTTTTTTAAATTTAACTTGGGGATTTTATGGTTGAACAGAGATGTAGGGTTCCTGATGCTAGAATCAGTCATATGTCAGAGACTTCCTGCTTTATTGATTCTGAATGGATGTTAAAGGCTAACTTGCAACATTTGAATTCGAAAAGATGGAGATGGCTTTGCACGTCATCGCCTGGCTCTAATTCAATTGATAATGTTTCAGCTGAAAGTTTGTGGGAGGTATGCTCGATTGCTCGGAGTATGACATGGTTAATTATCATCTTGAGCATCATTTTGTGTTTATCATTCGTACAAACGTTTGCAACTATACCTTCTAGAGGATTGCTAGTTCTTGATGATAGATGACAAAGTTTGATTGTAGAATGACCCTATATGGGAATGTACATGCTGTATAATTATTTGCTTCAATGCTTTGAAATTTGGGACTTTTTAGAGTTCATACACTATTATTCCCTATCTAATAAAAATAAAATGAAGAGATGGAAAAGAGGTCCAAAAAACTTTCATTTATTGATTTGGCATTGTGAAATTTATATCTTTAGGTATAATATCTATTAATTTAATTTGACATGATAGTTACTAAGTCCCTGTATGGTAATGAGCTAGTAGCTGGTTGACATAACTAGTTAACTGGTTTGACTAGCTCGTTGCATTTGATCTCTTTAAACCATCTATTTTACTAAAAACCAAACTAGTTTATTGCAAGAATTGCAACAACTCTGACAAAAAGCTAGTTAAGCAGCCTTTTTGAATCAGCTTATTGTATTACCTTTTAATTATCTATATTCCAAATACTAAAAATAGCTAAATTTGTGGTCAAACCATCTGATTGTTTACAAAAAGCTAATATCTCATCAATCATTACTTTACCAAACAAGGCCTTTTTACTTTTAGTACTCATATATAGTCATCTAATAGAGTATTTAATTAAAATATAAATACTATACTAGCTATTCAAGTAATTTTGAATGATTGGTTTGGGTTAATTTTTTTCTTACGAGAAGTGAAAGAAGCATTGTCTGGTCTAATAGTTGAAGTATTAGTAGCCGGGCTAATAGGTTTTTTTTTCCTCATTGGATATGTAAACTGGAAGTTTAGGAGAAAAACTAACACGCTATTTGTCAAATATGGGTGTTGGCTGATATATTTCAATGTAAATATTTTATAAGAGTTAGGCTTTTCTTGTTGCTATAGACTAAGATATACTTCCTTTGTTATTTTTAAATGCGATGTGGGAGGGGGGGGGGAAGGGATGCGCGTTATATTAGGAGAGGAGAGATAGAAAGAGTAAAAAGGACACATGTGATAGAAACATAGATATAGAGAATCATTGTTGAAATAAAGTAATTTGCAATAAATTTGCAACTTCCAAAATGGAATATGCTGCGATTAATAAAGATTGGGGGAAGTATGTTAATGAGACGTGTCATAAGATTATTCGTTGGTTGCTTTTCTCGTGATTAGGATTCATGAGATGGGAACACTTCTTTGATATTTTTCCCTTTAAAAAACTTTTTACTGCGCTTTTGAATGACTTTTGTTGCATAAATTAACCTAGTTAGCCTGTATGAATTTTTCTAAAATTTGTTTGGAAGATCTAGCTTGTTATGCAAACCTCAGCAAGGTTAGCTCATTGCAAATAGGTATAGAAGAGAAAAGTAAAGGACCTGTTGAGCTTCTAAGAGTAGTTATTTAAAATTTTCACTGTATGTTTTCTGGCTTTATTTGTGTAAAAGTGAATGCCCGTCCGGTAAAATTTTGGGGGATATGGTATGACCATGAGCTTTAGCTGATATGTGCATGTCTTATCAGTTACTTATCCAGAGTTTGTAACTTTGTCTATTTCCTTGCTGCCCCTCAGGATCTTAAACCCAGCATCTCATACCTACCTCCTGGTGAACTCGAATTGGTTCAGAAAGCCCTTAAGGTATCACTTGAGTATCAATTTTTTCCTCATTGGTGAATTCTGTATCTTAGATTTGGGGATTCATGTTGATAAGCTGGCTGGCACAGCTTGCTTTTGATGCTCATGATGGTCAAAAAAGACGCAGTGGGGAGCCCTTCATTATTCATCCAGTTGAAGTTGCACGTATCTTAGGAGAACTTGTAAGTTGGCGTAACTTTAATCTATGTTTTTCTTCAAGTTTGTGGTTCTATTTTATGGATTGTGATCGTGATTTTAGGAATTGGATTGGGAGTCTATTGCAGCTGGGTTATTGCATGATACTGTTGAGGATACAAATCTTGTAACATTTGACCGGATTGAAAAGGACTTTGGTTCTACTGTTCGTCACATAGTAGAAGGGGAAACCAAGGTGCTACTTCTAACAGTTCGAGAAGATTAGCCATTTAGCTGTTTCAGGTCATTGTTCTGAATCTACATCTGTATCTTCTTTTGTTAGGTTTCAAAACTTGGAAAACTCAAGTACAAAGATGAAAACAGTTGTGTACAAGATGTAAAAGCAGAAGACCTACGACAGATGTTTCTGGCAATGACAGAAGAGGTGATTTGGCACATTTTGCTGATATCTCCTTATTATTTTGTCTATTGTAATTACCAGTTGATGATTAAATTTCTGATTTAGGTCCGTGTGATCATTGTCAAACTAGCTGATAGATTGCACAACATGCGTACACTTTCACACATGCCATCTCATAAGCAGGTAATGTTGAATTTAAGTTCAATGCATTGTTGTTACATTACTAATTTACTTCTCTTTCCTATTTGTTCCATCCAGAAAAGTATAGCACTTGAGACTCTACAGGTGTTTGCCCCTCTGGCAAAGTTGCTGGGAATGTACAAAATAAAGGTATTTTTGTTCACCTTCTATCAAAAGCTTTTTTGTGTCACAATAATATTTGGATGTAGTGTTGTCTTATATGAGTTGGTGAACTATTTTTTATGTCTAAGATAGATTATCAAATGAACTTAAATGTGTAAATGAAGTTGTTGCCTTTCACTACTGTGAATATATCTCAGATTTAGTAGCCACTTCCTTCGGTTAAAGTAGTTGTTGCAGTAATTGGGCCAGGACTTTACGCCTATGTGTGCTTGCCATTAATTCTCCCTTAATGGGCAGTAACTGCAGCGGATCTCACTAGTTTGGATATAAAACCGTAAAAAGGTTTCCTTATGTGTTGGTGGTGTTATTGTAGTTAAAATCATGTCACGTAGAAATTAGGATTTCGTTCAAGTGGCACATCATTCTTGTTTAGGCATGTAATTATAGGTGATTTTGAGGTTTTGAGAAGCACAAGATCTAATACGTGGCCTATGTAATGCAAAGAATTAGTACACGGTGTTGAACCTAGGGCATTGTGCAAGGGAAATCTTTGAGGGGTAATAACTCTTTCCCTGCATCTTATTTGAAGACTATTTCATCTTGGGCTCAAGAGCTTTCAGATCAGTGGTCATAGACAGGCATTCTAAAACAAGCACTTGAGCTGCACAGACATTTTACACAAAAAAACCTTTTTAAAATTGAAGTAAAATTTCTTTACAAAAGTTGTATCTTGAAACATGAGTACTAAATTGAGCTACCGTGTTCTGGAACTGTCTACAAGTATTAAGATTGACTAGATATTTCACGTTCAGCTTGTCATTTTGATGCCTTTACCGAACCATCTGGGCATGTGCAGTTGCCAACTTATGTGTGAAGTTTTGGCTTATTATTCCTGATCTAGTGGTGTGTCTCATAGAGTTTTCATGAAATCCTATTATATCAAATAAAGTACTTTATGCTTTTCCATTTGGGATCTAATTTGTGGGAATGTCTTTTCTGTGTTGCAGTCTGAACTCGAGAACCTATCATTCATGTACACAAATGCTCAGGAGTATGAGAAAATCACCAAAAGAGTTTCTGAGCTTTATGAAGAACATGAGAAAGAGCTAAGTGAGGTAATAGTTTTTTCTTTTCCTCCATGTAAATGTGTGATGAAAATGTCTGCTATGTTGTTGGATCTTTTTATGTAAGTGCCAGACTGCTCTGACATTGAGAAAGTCTATTCTTTCCTGTTACATTGAGAAAGAATCGTAACTTACCTGTTTTGATTCATCTATAAGATTTTGTTGAAAACTAACTTTGTTTGTATTACTTGTTTATTCCTTTTGCTTACTGTGCCTTTCCTTCTTTTCAGGCAAACAAAATTTTGGTAAAAAAGATTGAGGATGATCAGTTCTTGGACCTTGTGACTGTTAATACTGAAGTGCATGCGGTACTTAAAGAACCTTACAGGTCCAGCTGTTCTTTGCCTTTATTTCTATTCTTTTTTTTTTTTTTTTTCCTTTTTTTTAAATTGTTGAGCCTTGTTGAGTTTGCCAATTTTTTTATGTGAAATGCTGTTGCCATAGTACCTATGTATGAGGGAGTCCAGTGCCCGGATTGGCCTGATATGATGGGGTACATGCTATTTTTTGTTTCCGTTGTTTTGAGTTTTCATATTAGTCTTGTGGATACAACAATCTCATGTTTGTGGTTACAACCAAATACCGGTGAATTTATTGTTGAACTAGAGATGCAGAAGTAGCTTTTAACAGATGCACCATGTTAGGATCCTTGGCTGTTGCATGACATTTATTTTAATTACCTGAATTTTTGAGATAATTAATCTGTATCACATATTCACTAATGCTGTCACTTTTTTACTGGTATACCTGGAAACAAAAATGAATCTTTTCATCTTTTAGTATATGTTTCTGTAAAGAATTTTGATATTGAAATTGAGTGGGTGTGTAAAGCTGATTGGTTTTGATGAATTTGCAGTATCTATAAAGCTGTAACCAAAGCAAATGTTTCTATAAATGAGATCAACCAGATTGCTCAGGTGCTTTCCCCTTTCTTATTCTATTTTAACTATCAGAACAGTTTTTAAATGTATATTTAGTGAGTCAATCATTTAGCACCATCTATCTTTTATTATAATTTTAGAACTTGCTGGCTGCTTTCAGCTTCGTATCGTTATCAAGCCTAAACCTTGCAGTGGAATCGGGCCTCTGTGTACTTCTGAGCAGGTGAAAGTATCATTCTTTGTCATGTTTCCACAAAGTTTTTAATTGGGGATTTATTATTGTTTTATTTTATACACTGTATTTTGATATTTAGTTTCTTCTGATTTTGTACCATGCAGATATGCTACCATGTTCTTGGGCTTGTACATGGTATATGGACTCCAATTCCTAGATCTGTGAGTTTCTTGATCTCTTACAATAGGGCGTGTTATGGAAATTTAAGGAGTTCTTCTTTTGGAACATGTATCTTTTCTCCTTTTCCAATGCATTAAATATCTTAGAGCCAATGGCGGATGAAATCTTCTAAATTTGCTCTGTTGATGTCTTTCCTTCTGTGAACAGATGAAAGATTACATTGCGACCCCAAAGCCTAATGGTTTTCAAAGTTTGCATACAACAGTCATCCCATTTCTTTATGAGAGCATGTTCCGGCTGGAAGTTCAGGTTGCTAAAGAAGTCTCTTTCTCATTTCAATTGTCCGCTATATAAATTACGGGGGTCTGAATACTCCAAATAAACACATGGTTCTCTCAATTTTTATTTATGTCTTCCCATCAATGTTTAATCACAAATTTACAACAGCTGATCTTGCAGGCCTCTGCATATAGTTAACTATTGATATGTATGTGTGTTAAGTAAATAAAAAAATCTTGAATTTTGCTGTTAAATTATATGCTGTTATCAATTGTATCATCTCATGATTCTCTGTGGCCCTTTTCTTCAAAATTTTCAATTGTTTTAGATTAGAACAGAGGAGATGAATCTAATAGCTCAAAGAGGGATTGCTGCTCACTATTGCGGGAGAGTCTCTGTTGATGGTTTAGCTAGGAATTCAAGAGGGAAGCCAGTCTGTTTTAACAACAGCAATGCAGCACTAAGGGTATCCTATCTGTCATGTATTTGAATTTGTGTTTATACTAGTCCCTTGTGAATTTTATATTGTGTTGGCCTCCGCTTCTCCTTCACCACCTCCTTTCCATCGTGGCATTTTTCGCTAATTTTATGGATAAAGTCTTTTCATTCCTCTAGATTGGCTGGCTCAATGCAATAAGAGAATGGCAAGAAGAATTTGTTGGCAATATGAGCTCTAGAGAGTTTGTAGATGTCATCACGAGGGATCTGTTAGGCAGCCGTGTTTTTGTATTTACTCCCCGTGGAGAGGTAAAGGATGCTGAATATCTATTTGAGTTAGTGACCATATAGTCGATAAAAATTATAATTATCCTCAACGTTTGAACAATGATATTGCTTCTTGTTCTGGACAGATAAAAAATTTGCCAAAGGGAGCAACAGTTGTTGACTATGCATATATGATCCACACAGAAATTGGAAACAAGATGGTGGCTGCAAAGGTATATATTAGTTGTTAAGCAGGCGTCATTGTTATCTTCGTGAATTTTTTTGTAATCAGATGTGCACTTTTCCTCAGGTTAATGGGAACCTTGTTTCTCCGACGCATGTACTTGCCAATGCTGAAGTTGTGGAGATAATAACTTATGATGTAAGTGCCTGGCTGACCTATATTTTTGGCTAAATCTAAATTTGTTATCTGAAGTCTATTTTGCTGAGGTTTCATATCTTTGTACTCTGTCTAATTCTTGTCTCGTAACTCCCTTTAGAATTGGAAACCTTTAATTATAGCTGTTGTAGTGATGGAACTTCGAAAGATCGAAACATATGGTCTACTGTAATGAGACTAATGACTACATCTTTTATGCTATCTTTGGGGATTCATCTCAATATAGTATGTGTGTTAAGGGATTATAAAACTTAGGAAAGATTATTATGTCAAGGTACCTCTTCACATAAAAAGTTACAGGCCTTGGCTTTACCATAAACTCTTCTCATGCATCACCTTCTTGTTGTTGATTGGGTAAAGTCATAGTGTCTTCTCTTAATTTCCTGATCACAAAGCCTGGCTTGCTCGTTCTTCAGATAACTTCTGTAATTTTGCCAAGAAACACTTGCAGAAACTCTGAACCGCAGTTTTTGCATTTCTTTTGAAAGGCAAAGGTTCATATAAAGGTGAAGCTCAAGGTCATTGTCTGGACATCAGTTTTTAAGGACACTCATGATAATTTGTAGGTGTAGTGGCCAACCGGAGCTTTGTCTGCAAATGTTTGTGAAATGCGCTACAAAGGTGCAAAGTATGATCCGCATCATTTCCTTCGTTGTGTGGTGGCTGGTGTTCAAAAGCTTGGTTTTAATTTATTTTTTTTTTAAATTTTTTTTTTATTTATTATTTATTTATAAAATAAGGGAGTTTTGGTGTTATGCTTCTTTGATGGGCCAATTGTAGGTGTGTTTTTTTTTTTTCGATCTTGTAGGAGAAAGCAATATAAGTTGCTTTGGAGTTGCACACCTAAGGCAGCTATTGGTTGGTTTGGTTGAAGAGTTGATAATCAATGACCTTATCCATCATAGAAAGGTCAAAGGTTAATGGAACAATGGAATTATGAGGTGGCAGTGTTGTGGGATTACTCTTTTTATATTTATTTATTTTTTACTTTTACGTTGTTCTGTGGTGTCCAGTGTCTTGCCCACAGCCCAAATATTTTCTTCCTGATGTCCAGTGTGACTGGCATGTTTTTTAGTAATTTTTGGAAGGAGGATGGCTTGTCCTTCCATTTATATCTTCGTTTGTTACAGCAATTAGTATTTAGTATTTATGTTTCCGCAAGTAGCTGCAAATTGATTTTTGTATTCACATCTTTTTGATATTCCATGTCTTAGGCTCTCTCGAGTAAATCTGCTTTCCAGAAGCACAAGCAATGGTTGCAACATGCTAAAACTCGCAGTGCTCGTCATAAGATTATGAAAGTGAGTTTTTACTGATTATCAGCTAGATTACTGGGTTGATTTGCTGATGTCTATGTTAACAACATTTTGTTTGCACAGTTTTTGAGGGAACAAGCTGCATTGTCTGCTGAAGAAATCACTACAAATTCTATCAATGACTTCATTGCTGATTATGAAAAAGATGTACAGGAGGAGACCTTGGACTTTTCCAGAGCGAGCAGGCCAATTTCAAATACAATATTTGAGACTTTGCTGCTACCTCAAAATCCTGAAGATCTTCAGCTGTCAAATGGTGCTCTTTGTATACCAAAGGTCAATGGGAAACATAATAATCTAATAGAGCATTCAAGTTTGGATGAGGGGCAACTATTATCACAAGATAACGATATTGCCAAGTTGATTATTGCTAATACAACAAGGCCTAGGGTAGTCCTTCCAGAGCTAGAAAGTTGGCAAACCAGCAAGATTGTTGCTTGGCACAGCATTGAAGGGAGATCTATTCAATGGCTCAGTGTAGTTTGTGTTAATCACCGAGGTAATTTTCTGGTTTTTTTTTCTTTGCTTCAGCTTTTGGATCATAATGTGCTAAGTTCATGGCTCATTAAAATGTCTTTGCTCCTTATCTATTGTGAAGTGGACATTGATTGTGCATATTGGTTCAAGGGTCAGCCAGAAACAACCTGTTCTGGGAGGGGGGGGGGGGGTGGGTTTAAGGTTGGGTATGTTTGATCCCCCTTACATGTCTAGGGTGGGATCCTATTAACAGGCATTTGGGTAGTGTTGAAACTGTTGATAGTGTGATGTCGATGTGGTTAACATTCATTGTGGAAAAAATATGCATTAATTTATTGGGTTGTCAAATTTAAATTACTTCCAAGATGTACTAGATTTTTTTCATGGAAATATAACTCCAAATCCAAATGTTTGCACAATTAATCAGAGGTTTGATTGTGATCATTTTTACATACAAGTGAAATTATAAGAGGATGATCAGAGGCTTGATGTATTGATGTATCGATATATTATTAGAAGTATCAGAGTTTAAAGCCTGTAAACTTTGACTCTAAAGTCAATATCTAAGAATTATAGGAAAATATGTATAAAAAAAGCTTTTGAATGAAAGATGTCCTGAATTTTTGGCAAGGTTCAACTCCTATGTGATATTTTCTTTATTGGAAGCTATGTATAACATTGACTAAATGACCATAGTAATTTATACATTAGTTTTTTCCAATTTAGGTGAACCCCACTTGCCCTATTAAGGCTATTATGTTGAGAGCAGGATTTTTGGTGCAGTTATATTCATGAGTTCACTTGCAGTCTGCTAAAGAGTACGTCAAGTCTTAAGTTAACTTGGGTAGTCAGATAAAGGAAACACTATTATAGATTTATTCAGTTTCATGTACTCTGAACTCCTTACTGGAGTTTTTTGTTTTTTTTAGTATATATATATATATATATATTTTTGTTTTTTTTTTTTTTTTTTTTTTTTTTTGGGTCCTTCCCAGTGATACTCCTTTCTCATGTAAGTGATTTTCTAACTATAGGACTAGATTTCAGTGAACAACATATGCAGAGAGGACTTGAGAATTTCTCGGTTTATAATATGGTCCATTCAAGTGAGAAGTAATTGATGGCTAAAAAAAATAAAATGTTTAGACTCATTAATTTTGTTTTACATTATGGATTATGCACCAATTCCCTCATACTGGTTTCTGAAATTCTGTACACCATAATATTTTCAGGTATGATGAGCCAAGTCACAACAGTCTTGGCATCTTTGGGGATCTCAGTGTGTTCCTGTGTGGTGAGATGAAGCAATCAATACATATTATATTAATATGAATCTTTTTAAGGAGTGTGAGTGACTTATTTGCTTTTTACATATTTACCCAAATAGGCTGAACTTGACAGAGGGAAGGGTATTGGAGTCATGCTATTTCACATTGAAGACACTTCAAATAATCTGGTATTTTACTTTGTTTTGTCTTGAATTAGTCAACTTTTCAAGCTTGTAACAGCTAACAATTTCTAAATTCATTCCTTTTCAGAATGATGCTTGCGCAAGAATTGATCTCATACTTGGTGTTCTGGGATGGTCCACAGGCTGTAGTTGGTTGAGCTCCCCAGAATTATAGAAAATGCTTATATTGAGCAAGTTATGTATGGATTATTCAGAAAGAGGAGGAGGAGGAGGGGGGGGGGGATGAAGAAAAAAAGGTGTGGCTGGTTGTTGGTATCACATAATATATCGTTATCTGGTGTTCTTCACTGCAACCCACTATTTTTGTTCTCCAAGCAATTGCTGCCTTGCAGGCTTGTGAGTGGAAGTTGTGTGTGAAGAGACAGAGACACTTTCTGATGATTTGGTTTGTTAAATCAGAATCATGGATATTTTTGGTTAAACATGGCAAAATAGATAGCATGAGCCGATTAGCTCATATACTAAGTCAGGGTAGTGTATATACAGAGAAGAGTTGTATAGTTAGGAATAGGTGTAAAGGGGGAATACAAGGCTCCATCCGCTGGGAAAGACAAAGGGAGAAGCCAACATATCTATGTGTTAATTTTCAGAGTACATTAATGTATTTACTTATCTATTCATTTTCTTCTGCATGACTCTTCTTGGAATCATGAAGTCTGTTTCGAACTGGCGGTGATTGTGGTGTAAACTAGTTATGCTGCATTCTTCGCTCAGGAGCTTGACTGTAATTCTTTGTTGACATTAATAAAGGGTCAATGATACATTGATCGATATTGAAGGGTTTAAAACCCAAATCATGATTGACCATTGTACATTATAAAAGTTTATGGCCCCTTTCTTGCTCTCTCTATTAGTGATCCTTTTGGATTAACCATATGTGTTCCACAAAAGATGGTGCAAAATTTCACTTACATAATTCAAAATTATAAAAGTTGTGATTATAAGTAGCGAATATTGTATAATAGTGGATTCCTAGATGGTAAAAGTTTTATGTTGCCTAATATAATTTATACTAGTATATAAAGATAATTTAGGGTTGAGATCAACAATAGAGAAAAACAAACAAATCCTTAGTTTTGCAATTGAGTTACTTCAAAGTGGGATTTATGAGAAATCTTCAAATTCTCAACTCTCAGGCTCTCAGTTATGTTATGCCAACCACTCCAATGCCACATCATTTCGTGTGGAAATTTAGATCATCATTTTAATCATAACTAAAGAAAGAAAAACCCTATTATATTGTAGCACTCCCTCACAAGAAATGGCTTTCCTCTCTAGAATTAGGGTTTTTCTGTCGATTTCACGGTTGACCTCCATTGGCAGTCTCTCTGACTAGCCATTCTCTGACTAGTAGAATGGTAGATATGCAAATCTCCGATTTGGTGAAGACGAAGGTGGAGTAGTGGACTTAGGGGCTGTAGAATCATTGAATTTGATGGAGAAATTTAACCTTATGCTAATAGGAAGAATTGTGATTGAAAAACTTTATAAAGTTGAAGCTTTCAAATCCACGATGACGAAAGTTTGGGCGTTATCCGGCAAAATTGTGATCAAAGTCCTCGGCCCTAATCTCTATGGCTTCCAATTCTTTCACTAGAGGGATAAGGAAAAGGTGTTACAGGGGAGGCCGTGATGTTTCAATAATATGTTACTATTGCTCAAGGAGGTAGAAGGGGATGAACAACCAAAGGCTGTCACACTCGTTCGCTCTCTGTTTTGGGTTAGGATTAAGCACCTACCCTTTAACTGTAGATCGGACTCAGATGTTTGAAAACTTGTGTCGAATGTAAGGGAGGCCATGGAAGTTTTAGGTGTTTACAGGCGAGTTTGAGTAAATTATGTCAATGAAATTCAACATTGAGAAATTCGATAGGCAAGTGATCGAATTTTGGCTTGGCCAATGGCAATTGAAGATGAAAGCCATCTTGGTTCAAAGGGGATGTCACAAGGCTCTTGTAGTTTTATCTAAAAGGTCTTCGGGCATGACGATTGATAAGTGGGTGGAGATCGATTAGAAGGCTCTTTCATAAATTCAATTATATCTTTCGAACGAATTTTGAGAGAGTTTTCCAAGGAGACGACTGCTGCAGATTTGTGGTTGAAGTTAGAGTCACTTTATATGACAAAAAGTGTGACCAACCATCTACTACTCGAATCTAGAATTCATGATCTTCATTTAAAGAAGCTAGGTAAACTGCTTAAGTCTTATTTAGATGAATTCTTCTCTATTTTTATGGATTTGCATAACATCGATGTTGAGATCGATGATGAGGATATGGCTATTAGGTTGTTGTGTTCTTTACTGTATTCGTGTAAGCACTTTTGAGATACATTATTGTATGGGAGAGATGATTTGAGTTTGGAGGATGTTAAGAATGTCATAACTCTGAGATATTTAATTGACAATAAATTGGTTAATAAATCAAATAATCCTGCTCAAACTAATGCTTTGGTTGCTCATTGTGGTAATAAGAAGTTTGGTAAAGAAAAAGTTTGTAACTATTGTCATGTGAAAGGTTATATCAAAGCCGAGTGTTGGAAATTGAAGAAGAAACATGAGGAGAAAGCACAATGAGGACAAATATGTAAATATTGCAAACGCCGACGACGATGATATTGCACTTTAGGGTTACAATTAAGCTTTGGGATTGCGGTTTCTACAATCTCTTCATGATAAGTGACCTTTTGAGATCTATTGGTGAAACGAGAAACCGTGTAGATTTTAAGACTCATTTTGAGATCTATTGGTGAAATGAGATCACACCTTAGAAAGCCGTTAATATTTAAGACTCCTTGTATTATTCTCTTGTTCTTTCTCCATTATAATGAAGAAGCTCTTGAATCCCCCCACTTGTGGATGTAGGTCTAATTTGATTGTACCACATAAGTCTTTGTATTATTTGTTTATCTTCTTAATTTATTGTTTTTCTCGATCTTATTTTTCATTAACTTTTTCCGCATTAATCAAACACAATTACACCCCTTATTTCCTTACAAAAGGGTATTTGGAGAATTTTGAAAAACACGATGGCATTTGGTGAATTTTTGAAAAATCCAAGGGCATTTACTGAAATAATTTAAATGTATGAGATGTACTTGTGTATGTTTTCAATTTCAATTTGACTGTAGTATACTCTCATAGTCATGAATTTTATCCTCTTTCCTTTGTGGCTAAACACTACTTTATAACAACATAAAGTATTGGGTGAGGCTTGGTGTGAGACAACCTTCATTAATATATGGCTTAGTATACAAACTTTGCGCACATTCCTGACTTATCAGCAACTAATAACCATCCTTCATTGCTACTCATCTCTCGCTATTCTCCATTTTCTCACTCCTAAAATAAACTCTATTATCCAACAATCAAGCTACCTCAAAAATGGCGAATACTTTTCTACCTTCACAAACCTTTTTAAGTCCGCGTTTCCGGTGTCTCTGACAACATTTGGCGAAAAACGATCACTTACGCTGACGCCGGTAGAGGAAAATGGTGGGTCTCCAATGTTTCACCGAGGTTGATGATGAAGGAAACGCCAACGTTTCATCATAAAATGTTATCAAAAATTTTCTCTACTATCATGCTATATGATACTTCCTCCGTTTATTAATGTTAGTCCCATTTAGAATCTTTTGACTATTTAAAATTAGAGAGAATCTTCTAAATTTCTCTTTATACATAAGAACAAATATAGTCATATGAGATCTAGTTTTATTCGTCTCGATCAGTATATTATTAATATCTAATTCTTATAATTTTAGCTGTTGTGAGATTAAAGATATTTACAATCAAATATTTGCATCGATATATACTCCCTTCGTGTTTAGGTAAATGAACGTTTTGACTTTTTGCACTATTCATCTGATTCATTTTGACTAACGTTTGCTATTAATACATAAGAATAAATATAGTATTGTGGATACTTGTTGGAATCGTCTCAATGAATAGTTTATTAATATTCAATTGCTATAATTTTTACTTTTTGATAATTAAAGATATTATTAGTCAAAGTGTTGCACTAACATACGTGCACAAGGGAAGTTAAATGTTTCATATATTTAAACACGGAGAGAATAATATTCATGGTTGTGAAATTTGCAATTTAAAAAAGTCCCTATTTCTTACTAGTGCTCAAGTTGTACAATCTAAATCTCAATCACTTTCTCTTATAGCGAGGGAAATTCGGGCTTCTATTGGATAATCTTGTGGTAGAGCTATGTAGTACTTGATAACTCACGTTACCAGTTTAGTCCCTTTCTTTCTTCTTAGATTTTTTTATTTTCTTTTTATTTTTTTAAAGTTATTGTTAAATTTGGGTTGATTTATTATGAAAACTTTGTTTTTGGTAATTGTTTGAATGATATGATTAATTGTATGGATGATATCTTTAAGTGTTTAGGCTAGATGATATGATTAATTGTCTAGATGACATGGTTAATTATCTGGATGATATGATTAATTGATTGGATGATATTATTCATTGTTTGGATGATATTAATTATATTAAAAAAAATAATTGTTTTGGTTGGATATGTAATATCACTTATATGTCTAGATGATATGATTAATTGTCCAGATGATATCTTTGAGTGGCTAGGTTGAATGATATGATTAGTTGGCCGGATGACATGATTATTTGTCTTTATGATATGATTAATTGTCTGAATGGTATTTAAGTATTTGGATGATATGATTGATAATTGTTTAGATAATATGATTAATTGGCTGGATAACATGGTTAATTGTTTAGATAATATAATTTATTATTTTTCAAAGGTTGGGTTTTCCTTATTTTGAGCTTGTCTCACGAAGCCATTGGTGAGGCAAGTCTCACCTAATAATTTGCCTTAGCTTATAACAATCAGGATCATATCTTTCAAAACAAGAGTTGTGTTAGTACTTCTAGTGAGATGAGATCAAGAATTTAAATATTTGCAATAGGATATTCGCAATTTGCATTTCTCAATTTATTTAGGACATAAATGACTTGTATATAGATTATGTCACTCATCTTATTTAAGATTTTTCTATAATTTTGTTATTGATTACTAATTAGTTTCATATCATATCACTAATAAATAAAGCAGGATCTCACAGCCAGAATACGAGACATCGACACTTGGAATTTCAATTTATTGCCGAATGTCGCGTTACGTAGGCAACAAATAGGTATTATTGTGACACATATGCAAGATGCTAAGTAAGGGAATTTTAGATAGATTTCTTAAGATAAAAATGTTGTATAAAGTTTTATTATTAATATACTTTTAATATTTCATATATACAAAATTAATCATAACTTTTAATAAATATCTTATAACTCGGTTCTACTTCCATCATAAAATTCTTAATAAAAAGTTCTTTAAATAAGAACCTTTTATAATATATTTAATTTATTTTAAAAATAATAGAAAAACAGTAAAAATAATTTTAGTTTGGTAAAATAGTTTTAGTTCAATATAGTTTAAGTTCAATAAAAATAATTTCAATTTTATAATAATATAGATATCTATTTACAAATAAAACTACAAAAAATACACTATTAACTAATAAATAAAGTCGAATCCTGTAGCCAGGCCATGAGACATCAATACTTGGCATTTCAATTTTTTGCCAAGTATCGAGCCATATAAGCGACAATTATGCATAAATATGTTACATCAGATGTCATGTAAGCGATACCAGATAGATTTGTTTAGGATAAAAAAAAGTTATTTTAGAGTTTAAATTTCGATAAACTTTCATCTTTCACATAAATTAAATACTGTATAATTTTCAATGCATATATTATAAAATTGCAATTTTTTGCATCATAAAATTCGTTTTAAAAAAGCTTTAAAATAAGATCCATTTATGATATATGTTAACTAATTATAAAAGTTATATATATATATAAAAAAAATTATTTTCTAAATTTCCAAGATTAATATACAATTTTATTAACTATATACATTCCTATAATCGTAATGATTTTTAAATCTTGAAAACAATACGATACTAATACTATTATATAGTGTCATAGAAAATTTCAATTAACAAGTGATCATTAATATTATTGAATTAATATCAGATTTCTTGAGTTGTAAAATGAAACAACATAAATTGTATACTTCCTCTGTTCCTCATATGTTGCATCATGGGGATGGGACAAGGATTTAAGAAGAGCGGAGAGATAGAGAGGAATTAAGATAGAGACCCATGTGATGAGCAGAGAAAAATAGTGAAAATATGTGCAAATATGAAAATGTTGCAATATTTGTAAAACTTCCTTAAATGGTAATTGTTGTAAGATTTGTGAAACCGATGAATTATTTACTAATAAAACTACAAAAAGATATACTACGGTCTAAATATCCTACATTATTAGAAGAAATTATATGCCATTTACAGAGTATTCCGTATGTGATACAGTTTAACATACAATCCAAAAAGTTTATTCTAAAATTTTATTGTCAACTACACAGGGCATCGCTCGGGCACAAAACTTGTTTATTTATATACATTAAAACTCAATGGGAAACACATGAGTCTGCCACGTGTCACTAATACTAGGAAGATGATGTGGCGTCATGTCATATTTTTAAAGATTACTATTATTCATTAAATAAAAATTAACAATTGTTAGTATTAATGTTTGAACTCATGACCTCATGTTTATTATACTTTAACTTCAACAGCAAGTTCAATGGCATGTCTTTTGTCTATAACGTTTTGTTAAAAAGAGTTAATTACATTCATAAACTTTAAGATTTAATGTTTAATTTCATTCTTGTATATTTAACAACAATACAAAAATTAAACTCATTTCTTTTATTTGCTCATACATAAAACCTGTAGTTGCTTTAAATATGTAACCCAAAATATACATTGAAATTTTTTTAAGCTAATGTTTTTCTTTTATAACAATTGAATATTGAAGTAAAACAATTTTAGGATACTAGATATTGATGTTTAATAATGATTGGAATTATATTTTTAATAATACGAATACTGAAAAAATGAAACTAATTTAATCTATATTTATATTTCATCACATTTTTTTTAATTATTAAAGCTCATTTTTAATATACATATAATAACTCGGGGCATCATTCGGGCCAAAAACTAGTTCATATTTTAAAACTCCAAATCTAGGATGTCCAAAATTGATATTTGTGATAACTATGAATAATGTAGCATAATATTATAACTATTGTAGTAAATAATGTAAATTCTACATCTCTAAGTTTGCATTCCACATTGTGGTATGAACCCCATTGAAAGCACTTTGGGATGAGGATTCCTACATCATCTTACTTTTAAATAGCCTAACTCGCTAACCCAAATTGTTTGTACAATCAAACCATAAAATAGAGAAAAACAATAATATACTCTTTAATTAGTACTCCCTCCATCCTTGTATTAAGAGCCTGTATTCTATTTTGGGATAACCAAAATTAAGCGCTATTTTTATTTATAGGTTGTACTTTTTAACAATATTATTCTCTTTTTGATGATTTGTCATATTTTTTCTTTATCTTTTTTGTATTTTTGACATCAAATCCCAATATTTTCTCTCTCTTTCTCATCAATAATATCTAACTACTTTGTACTTTTTCTTTCTTTCTATCTCTCTCTAACCCCACATGCATATTTGTACTCCCAATTATTACGAAGTAGTTTTAAGGAATCTACAACTTTCTTAATTCTCGGGAAAAAAACCCAAATAGGTTCTTAATAAAAGGGCGGAGGGAGTAATCAAATTACTATATTTAATTATATATATATATATATATATATTTTTTTTTTTTTTATTATTTTTTTTAAGGAACTATTTTTAATTAGCTTTGCTTAACCAAACTTTTTCCAACAACTTTTGTGTGTTGCTGGCCACACTGTGTGGCTAGCTGACACACATTAAGTAACCCTTGATCGACGAGTAACCTCTGACCGGTTAACCCATAACCGACCAAGTAACCCCTGACCGAGTGAGTAACCCCTGACCATGTATCCCTGACCGACTTAGTAACCTCTGACCGAGTGAGTAACCCCTGACCTCCCGAGTAACCCATAGCCGACCAAGTATCCCCTAACCGAGTGAGTAATCTCTATAACACTAACAAAATAACCCTCATAATAGTTGACCACATGGTGTGAACAGCCACGTATAAAAACTTATAAAGTTTTTTTTATTTTTGTAATAAAAAAGAAAAATTCCCAATTGATAGTTTTATAGGAGGTTGTACTTGTACTTCCATAACCGCAATGTTGAGACCCCACAAAAGTGTCTAGTCTAGGGTCTATCTCATTATAATGAGTAATTGAGTATTGTATAATCTTCTTTTTCCCTCCCCAAAATATTTAATTGCTTCTTTTTCTTATTCTCCATTTCCAAAAAGCACCAAAACAATCATTTTTCCTCTTTAACTCCACCTCACCAATTAGGCAATTACTCCAAACTACGCTCCATTTCCAATTCCCAAATTATGAGATTATTCCGGGGCAAAGAAACCGCCGATTCCTCTCTGTCGCCGGAAATTCCTCCACAACCGTCACCACCACCACCGGCGCCGTCGGTTACGGGCCCAGCGCGGCCGATTAGGTTCGTATACAGCGATGAAAATGGCAAGTTTCGCATTGATCCAGAAGCTTTGGCTGTTCTTCAGCTTGTTAAGGAACCAATTGGAGTCGTCGCTGTTTGTGGTCGTGCTCGTCAGGGCAAGAGTTTTATTCTTAATCAGGTTTTACTTTCTCTCTCCTCTTGAATTTTGCACTTTTTTGTTTGTTTGTTGAAGTGGTCTGAAAATTGGGAGCTTTTGATTTTGAAGTGGATTTTACTAGGGTTTATAATTGTGGTTGGTTGAATTTTTGTTGACCTTTTTTTTCTAAGTGATTTGATTATTGATGAATGTAGTTTGTGAATTGTGATGTAGTAGCATGCAATTTTGAGTTGAAAACGAAATTTTGACAATGTGATAGTTTATATGTGCTTTAAGGACTGAATTTGACAGTTAATTAGTTGTAGAGTAATTTTCTTGATCATATAGGATCAGTGATTTCGGTTTTTTCGAATTGATGCTGTAGATTTCTGATTTAATTCTTGTAATCGTAATGGATCAATTTTGACTTATAATGTTATAATATGTTAGCAATATAGGCTCTTCAAATTGAAATTATAGATTATTTTAAGACTGAAATCAATGTTAAGAGTCTTGCTACCACAAAATCACAATTGTCTATACTTTATAGAAGAAATCATAAATATAGGTTTTTCCCAGACCTGATTATTGGGCATGTCGGGTCAGGTGAGTGTTGGTCATAAGTGGCATATAAGGGTTCTGGTTCTTGTGTCTTGTTAATAAAGCCTTCTGAAGGAAGGATTTCTGCATGTGTTTGATGCTGTATTATCATATAAGAGAAGCTTACATAACTTATTAATGGTTCTAGCTTCTTGGGAGGAGCAGTGGATTTCAAGTTGCATCAACACATCGGCCATGTACAAAAGGACTTTGGTTGTGGAGTACGCCTTTGAAGAAGACTGCTCTTGATGGAACAGAATATAATCTTATACTGCTGGATACTGAAGGAATTGATGCTTATGATCAGACTGTTAGTGCTACTTCTGTTTTTGATTCATTCTCTATACGTATTTCACTTAACCATTACTGCATGGCATCTTGGCTGTCTGCGTCATGTCAATAATGGCTGACTTATCTATGTTTTATGAGTAATTGTGCTCAGTTCACTTCCTTGCATTTTATTTACACAGTATTTTTACAGGGAACATACAGCACACAAATATTTTCTTTGGCTGTTCTCTTATCCAGCTTGTTCATCTTCAACCAGGTAGGAAAACTTTTTAGTGATTGGTCATTGTTCTTGGGTTGCATATTTAATGTGTATGCAGCTTTATCTGTTTTCTAAGTGTTGCGCTAGCATCAAAATAATAGTGGTTATTGATGAAATATTTTTCATAATATAGATGGGTGGAATTGACGAGGCTGCATTGGATCAGCTTTCCCTTGTGACCGAAATGACTAAACATATACGTGTTAGGGCCCCTGGAGGAAGGACCACAGCTTCTGAACTTGGGCAATTTTCGCCAATCTTTGTTTGGCTTTTGAGGGTAAATTGCTTTGTATCCTTGAACTTAGGCTCTTGGTTTCTTTGATTTACATGTACATTATCATGCAGGACTTCTATCTGGATTTGGTTGAGGATGATCGAAAGATAACGCCTCGTGATTATTTGGAGCTTGCGTTGAGGCCAGTTCAAGGTAGTGGGAAGGATATAGTTGCAAAAAATGAGGTATGTGTGGCAAGGTTCTTCTTGTTGGCGGTGAAATGTAAAAGGATGATATTTTATTTTTCTATTCTCTAGAAAATAAAGAATTTGCTTTAATCTATATATGTCAACTTAATCATTATAGATTATGAAGTCTTAGTTGTACTCTGTTGTTCTACTCATGCATGTCACATTAGCTGTTTATGGTTGTCTCTCATTTTCCCTGGTTTCTACATTAAATTATTAAACATACAAATATACTAGTACAAAATATAAGTTAGATTATGGAGCCAAATATATATTTTTGGCTTTGGGTTTACTTCCTCCTTTCCACTAAGTTCTTCCCACTTACTATAGATCCACACTCCACATAACAATGAACATGTATAAAGTTATATAAGTGGGAACATGTGATTACCCTTTAAGGAAAGAGATTGAGACATTGAGTATAAAAATATTAGTATCTCTTTGACAAATAATGGAATGAAGCAATAGTGGGAAGAACCTTATAAAAAATGATCCAATATTTTATGGAATAGAGGGAGTACTAGATTGTTGTAAATTGGCTTTATTAATTTATTTATTTTTTAATGTAAGATGATAATTTGCTTTTACATTTAGAGTCAAGTAGGGACTATCTTTTTGTCCTAGGGTGAGGGGTAAGGCTACGTGCATCTGCTCCTCCCTAGGTCACATCATCACCACTTACTGTGGCAGCCTCTTTTGTGGAATTGGGTTAAAATGATTCTAATATATACTAGTTGGCAAATGTGGTTTTGTTCTTTGATTTTTAGCTCTGATTCCTCTATGTGGACTGTGGAGATAGCTTTTGGTTCCTGGGGTTATGGTGACTCCTTCAATGCCATGTGTACATTTCCTCTAGTTCCTCTGCGTCTATCCCTGGGATGGTGGTAGCTGGAAGCCCTTGCTTGTTTAGTGACTCTTTGAAGTTTGGCACCCCCTTTTTATACCAATATCAACAACCTTTTCCTGTATCTTGGATATATTTCAACATGATTTATGGTTTAATGGGTTATAATATGGTCTAATGGAGTATTGGCTAATAGGCATGTCTGGGAATCAAATATTTGTATCTGACATGGAGATTGGGTTGGCTGTGGATATCTAATCGTTACTCCACCTGCTTTGCTGCTCACCTAGAAACCACTACGCCACTAGACGAAGTTTTCTTTGAGAGGGGTTTAAGTATGGACTTTAAATGCATTTTTTTTTATCAAATATTTTGCCAGTGCTCTAATTGAGTATGTGAAGTGGGGGCACAGGAATCTTGGGGACTTAGACCCATTGGGTAATGTTGGCATGTTGCCTTCTGGTGTGGGTGTGGATTTTGGGGTTTATATGCATTGCTAGTGTGTAATGGCAGGTGGGTGGAAAATTAAAGTTATAGCTGACCTTTGTCCTGTGTTTGGACCATTGTTATTGATGTTCTTGCTTATGATGTGGTGAATAAATTACTAATAATATAAAAAATGAACATGAATTGGTTTATTATTTTGATGATGCAAATTATATTAGTGTATTTGGCTCCACTGATATAATACCTCATGACTATTAGATTCGGGAATCGATCCGTGCTCTTTTCCCTGACCGTGAATGTTTCACCCTTGTTCGGCCATTGAACAGTGAGACTGAACTTCAGCATCTTGATCAAACACCAGTAAGTATCTTTATTCTCCAATAAACTTTTGAGTGGACTATTCTCTCTCTCTCTCTCTCTAACATTTGCAGATTATATTTATTGTACACAGCTGCACAACTTTAGACCAGAATTTAGATCTGGTTTGGATGCATTAACAAGGTTTGCATTTGAAAGAACGAGGCCCAAGCAAATTGGTGCAACTGTAATGAATGGACCTATGCTTGCTGGTTTAACACAATCATTTCTTGATGCATTGAATAATGGTGCTGTTCCAACAATAAGTTCCTCTTGGCAGGCAAGTCTTCCACAGAATACTCTTGAGCAATTATCTTATAATTTTAGTTATGATGCTTGTTTAATTGATGATGCATGGTCTTGAATAGAGACAAATTACATACATTTTCAATAATGAACAATATTCCCCCCCTCCCCTTAACCCACCATACACACTTATTAAGGATTTTAATTAGTTATTTATTTATTATTTATTGCGTGATTAAAATAACAATGTAGTGTAATTACCAAAGAATTGTTCTCAGTTTACATCCTATCTAGTAGCAGCTAGCACACAACCACTAAGACTATAGAACTAAAATGCTAAGCCTAAAGCTTGCCAGCCATTATAAATGCATCAGTATGTCAAGATCCCCACCATACAAGAAGAGTTAAAGCAAGACACCCTTCATGTGCACAGGTTCAGCTAAGACAAAAGAGAGCTCCTTTCGTCAATAACTGAAAACATTCCTCCCTAATTGAGTTGACTCAATTTTTAATTAGCATTTAATTAGCATTTATTGAATAGTAATACTGCATATTACATATAACTAGGAATAATAAAATTTGGTTAAGCTGAAGGACGTTGAGGAGTGGTGAAAGTAATAACAAGAAACTGAATGAATTTTTGTCTGTGTTCAGCCTTATAAAAATGGCAATGACCTGGACTCGGTATACACACTAAATTCTTTGTTGGTGAGAATTGGGTAAAATCCGGAATAGAAGCTCGTTTATCTCAAGATTATGCTTTAGGAACAAGGAAATTGGGAAAGTTTCAAAAGTTCTTTTCCTGTCTTTGAGTTGCCTGGTTTAGTTACACTTCTGCCCTTGTATAGGATTTAAACCTTTATAATTCGACTTTGTGTTGTGCAAAAGATTAATTAATAAATTAATTAATTTATTTCTTTTATTTTTTTTCAGAGTGTTGAAGAAACTGAATGCAGGAAAGCATTCAACAGAGCTTCTGAAGAATATATATATGCCTTTGACAAGTCAAAGCCACCTGAGGAAGTAAGGGTCTTTCCTGTATTGTACTTTTATATTATTGTTTTATTTCTATTTATATTTCTCATGCCTTTTTTGTAGGCAGCACTTAGAGAGGCCCATGAAGATGCAGTGCAAAATGCTTTGAGCATATATAATTCAAATGCTGTAGGAGCTGGTTCAGCAAGGCAGAAATATGAGATGCTTCTGCAGAATTATTGTAGGAAGGAATTCGAGGTAGTTAAAGTTTGTTTTGGTTCATTAGATATTTGTCGAAATAATGCTTTACTCAGTTGAATGTAGGGTTCCTTAAAGTTCTCAATGTTTTAATATTTCTCAGTCTTCAGTTACTACTTACCATAATTGCTTTCCTTCACATAGCTCTTTGTTATATATATTCTAATGCAGAATTATAGGAAAAATACATTCATGGAGGCAGATTTACTATGTTCAACCGCAATTCAAAATATGGAGAAACAACTAAGAACAGCTTGTCTTGTCCCTAATGCAGAACTAGTTCAAGTGCTTAAGGTTAGAAATCTTTCCTTAAATTCTTGTTATTGTAAGGCCCATTTGCAAAATTTCCAGATGCTGTAGCTTCTGTTGCTCTATGGTAACATGGTGTCATTTTTCAACTGTGGTCAAAGAAACTTCTATCTGTAAAAGGAGTATACAATGACATGAATAAAGTGGCTTTGCGAGAGCATGTAGAATTGGTTAGACGTAAATGGAGGAAGAAAATCTTTGTGGATGATCATAGCAGCTCCTCTCCCCCCTTCTCCTACATACCTAGGTTACTGAGTAATTGATTGACGTGAGGAGAGGCACTTATGGGAGAAGCACTAGCAATTAGAGGGCTTCCATTTAGCAATGTAATATATTTTTTTGGGCTATGGATGCTGACAGTAATTTTGTATTAAGAACAGCTAAACAGTTACTAATGACATAATGCTCAACAGTGATACCTTGTATTTGTGTCTTCAGTATAAATTGTGAACAGAACTGACATAATAATCAATATTATACATATATACCGTAATCTTGTTCAACATATCTTTCTTTAAATTTAAATTGGTATGTGATAGGCATTGCTTGTTCTAACTAATGCTTAACTAATAATTGTTGATGTACACAAATCACTATTGCCACAATCAATCAATCAATCAAAGCCTTAATCCCATAAGTGTGGTCAGCTTCATGAACCAAAAGTGATTATTCCGTGTAGTCATTGACAAAAATCTTCCTCCTCCAACCCTTACGATCCAATGCCTCATCCTCATGCAAATCCATATACTTCATATCCTTCCTAACTCCTTCCAACCAAGTCATTTTCGGTCCCTCTCGCCCTCGTTTAACCTCTCCATGGTCCCACTCTTCCACTCTTTGTACCAGGGCACCCTCTGTCTCCGTCTTACATGCCCAAACTAACGCAGACGATTTTCCCTTAGTTTGTCTGCAATGCCTGTCACACCTATTTTCTTGCGAATAACCTCATTTATGATTCTATCTCTTAAAGTGTTCCGGCACATCCACTTTAACATGCACATTTCCTTAACCTCCATCTTTTTAATGTGCTACTTCTTAAAAGCCCAACATTGTGTACCATAGAGCAACACATAGAGCAACACTGGTCTTATGGCAGTATTCCCTTCAACTGTAAGGGGATGCTTCGGTCATATAACACTCCCGTGGCTGCTCTCCATTTAAGCCACCCCGACTTAATCCAGTGGGTCACGTCTTGATCAATGTCACCATTTTTCTAGATGATCAACCCAAGATATCTAAAACGTTCACTTATGGTCAAGTCCTTTCCATCCAAACTCACCACATCATCGCTTGTTCCCAAAGCGTCATACCAAAATTTTTAGTCTTACTTCGACTTAGCTTAAACCCTCTAGATTCCAACCTTTGCCTCCATTGTTCCAATTTGGCATTAACCCCATCTTTAGTTTCATCCACCAAAACGATATCATCCGCAAATAGCTTACTCCATGTCCTGAACATATCGTTATTGCCACAAATCAACAAATATCTTGGGCAATGTACTCCTTTTCATGGTAAATATGTATGGATAACTCAATAAATCCAAAATAAAGAGAACTGCAAGTCCAGTCATTTCTTGAACATTGTGGCCTTATGTGCGCAGGTGCTTGATGATCTTTTGTCTGAGTATGAAGCTTCATGTTATGGTCCTGGGAAGGAAGAAAAGAAGGCTATTTTCCTTCAGCGAAGGTCAGTGTTGGTTTTTGGTTATGCTTTCTTCTCCTGTGTTAATGATTTATCTAATGGTGTGTAAATTTTCCCAGTTTTGAAGATCTAATAGCTGAAGTTGCTAGAAAGCAACTTGATAAGGTTGGAACTGAGCGAAGTGCCCTTAAGTTGCAGTGCCAGTCCCTTGAAGAAAATGTGGTTTTGCTCACCAAGAAATTAGAAGCAAGTGAGAAGCAAAAGTCCGAGTACCTGAAGCGCTATGATGATGCTCTAAGTGACAAGAGGAAAATTGCTGATGATTATACAAACCAAGTAACTAACTTACAAAGTAAACATAGCTCTTTGGACGAGAGATATTCCAGTTTATCAAAAACGCTGGATTCAGTCAAGAAGGAATCTTCTGGATGGAAAAAGAAATATGAAGATATCTTATTGAAGCAGAAGGCTGAAGAGGATGACGCTTCTGCAGAAATAGGTGTTCTTAAGTCTAGGGCTAGTGCTGCTGAAGCAAGTCTGGCTGCTCTTCGGGAACAAGCTCAGTCTGCAAAAGAAGAAGCTGAGGAGTGGAAACGGAAGTATGATATTGCTGCCAAGGACGCAAAGTCAGCCCTTGGAAAGACAGCTGTCGTGCAAGAAACAACAAATAAGAATATGCAACTAAGGGAAGATATGCTAAGAGCTGAATTTGTTAAGACTTTGGCTGTAAAGGTATGACATACTCCGCAACTCTATTTAAATAGCCTCCTTTCTATCTTAGTTCTGGCTTGAGAGTCTGTCAAATAGGAGTAGTCACGAATTCCTTTGCTCATAGTTATGAGATTCCTGTTCTAGAGATATACTACCTCACCTCTGTTCCCAGAGGATCTTTAACATTACTATTTGCAAACAAGTTTAAGGTAATTGGAGAAAAAGTGTTGATATGGTGAGTGGTTGAAAGAAAGAGGTGGATAAAGTAAGTGTTAGTGTAAGGAAATAGTAGGAAAAACTAGGAACGAGATGGAATTGTGTAAATATTGTAATGTTGTTTGTGTAAATATTGTAATGTTGTTTGCAAAGAATAAAATAAAGCAGACGTTTAAACAACTTTTGGGAATGAACTAAAATGGGAAGTGTAAAGATTTTGCAGGAATAATGGTAGTGCAAAGGAGGTTTTTTGTTATTTTATTTATTTATTTATTTGCAAATAAAATTCAGGAGAAAGAGCTCAAGGAAAAGATGGCAAAGGTGGACCAGGTTGAACAACAGCTAACAACTTTACAGCTGGGGTTGAAGGTGAGTATATGTGATTTATCTGAAATAGCTCTATTAACTAACTAGTGTTTAGACATGCCTTGCTGTGTGATCATAGAAAATGATAGAGCTCAGCCTTCAGTAAATATCAAATATAAGTGGCCACAATAATAGAATCGATTAATAGTAATACTCATGCAGTTTCAATGTGCTCTAGTGAGTGTTAGTAATTTGAACCTTGATATTCTTGTTTCCTTTGCTTTCATATTTAGTATATTATTGGTGAATGATGATGGGCCATGGATTTAAACCTAATGATTGAAGTATTATTATTGTACCATAAATCAGGGTTTTAAAGCTCATAACTACTATGAAAAGAGTACTGATAGCTGTTTAAGTTTTACATCCCAGATATCATCTCTTTACTTTATTTGTTCGTGTTGACTTAGATTTTCCTTCAAGGGGATTAACAATGGACTAAATCTGGCCTGTAATAACTAATTTCTATTGACCAAGGCTCACTATAGTTTGAAGTGAAGGATGAGTGAAAATTACAAGAATCAGAGCAACACTTACCTTTCTGCTGGCTTTTCTATGTCAGATACAGTCTAACTTGACATGAATAGTTAAAAGAAATTTCATAGTGAAGCAAAACCGAGTCAATAAGTAGCGTTTTTTCTTTTTTTTTTTTTTTTGGGTAGAAAGAGTCACAAGGGCAACGATGTAGATTTGATTTGATCTCAAGTCTTGGGTATCACCCCCCAAGACTTTTACCAACTAAGCTATTTAATATCCACGCTCATAAGTAGCTTGTGAAAAGCAATGCGCATTTAAAACCTACCGTTGTGATGAATTATAAAGTGTAATGGAGTACTTGATGAATACTCTGTTCTAGACTGGATTGGGCAAACCTTTCATGGCCTCACTCTTTCATTTCTCCTTTAAATTACTGTAATGTTGTGCAATTGTATTGACATACAGCTTACATTTATGATTTTTAATAGTTTGATTTATTGTTTTCTCAACTTTTTTAGGCTGCTGAGTCAAGAGTCATCAACTATGATATGGAAGTATCAGATTTAAAAAACAAGATAAAGGTGCTGGAAGAGGAGTTGGAAGCTGCAAAAGCGGAAGCAAAATCATTTGAGAGACAGTCAAAGATACTTGAGCAGGAAAAAATCTATCTGGAGGAGAAGTATCAACCTGAATTCATGATGATTGATGAGCTACAAGAGAGATGTAAAGCTGCTGAAATAGAATCCAGGAAAGCTGTTGAGGTTGCTGATCAAGCACGAGCAGAAGCAGAGATTGCTCTAAAGGAAAAAAGTGATATTCAGAAAATATACATGGAAAGATTGGCCCATATTGAGAAGGCAGAGAGGCAGATTGAGAATTTGGAGAGGCAGAAAAAGGATCTAGCTGATGAACTTACTAGAATACGTGCATCAGAAATGGATGCAAAATCTAAAGTGATATTGCTGGAGGCTAGAGTTGAAGAAAGAGAGAAGGAGATAGAATCTCGAATGAAGTTAAACAATGCTGAAAGATCCAGCACAGTTCAAGTACTTAATGAATTACTTGAAACAGAGCGTAGTGCTCGAGCAGAAGCCAATCGTAGGGCTGAAGCTCTCTCTGTTCAGCTGCAGACCACCCAGGGTAAGCTTGATCTAGTGCAACAAGAATTGGCTTCTGTTCGTTTTAATGAATCAGCCTTGGAAGCGAAGCTCGAGGCTAGTAAATCTAATGGGAAACGTTCAAATGTGGAGGCCATTGAAATGAAGGTTGATTCTACTGAGGATGATAGACTTATTACTCGAGTCAAGAAGAAGCTTAAGAGCATTGGCAGCCCTTTCCGGCAAACAGCATCATCAGAAGATGTCCATCTGGTTTTTGGGAGTGGTGAAGATGTTACTGAACAAATAAATTCAGAAGATTATACCAAGTTTACCGTTCAGAAACTAAAGCAAGAACTGGTGAAACATAATTTTGGTGCTGAGCTGCTGAAGCTGGCAAATCCTAGCAAGAACCAAGTCCTTGCTTTATATGAACGATGTATCCTTCATAAGTATTGATCAGCTGGCTTACGGACAAGTAGTTATGGTAGCATATGATTTACATGCCTCAGTTACCATGTTCAAAAGGCAACTACATGGCTTACCTTGCAGATTAATCTTCATTGTGATTGGTTAGTCCTTTGTCTCAGTGTCATGGAGTTGGATGGCGTTCTACTGGGACTGGGTTTTTCGGTAACATAATCCTTTCTTGAATTTCTTGCTGTGAATATAATTTGATAGGTTTGCCATAAAGAATTTTCTGCAACTTTTTTGGCAGTTTATTCCTTCAATGGCATAGGTGAAATGCTATTTATGTCTGGCTGTGTCGATGTGAGTTTGAAATTGTCTAATCTTTGTCAACTGTATAAATATTCTTGCAAGGGTGTCTATCTTTTAAAGGTCATGTTTTGGAACTGCATATTGATTTGGGGTTTTAAGATAGGTCGGAGAGGTTTTATAACAATTCGTGCTAATAGTTTGTTGGTGTGGAAGTTCTTCCTGTACTGTACATCTACTTTCTAATAATGCCGATTTTTTTTGAATACTTTGTATCTGTCTCTGTAACACGATGCTTGTATTAGCTTTATTTGAGTTTGCTCTCTTGTATAAAGTCTAATCAAGTCTTGGCATATCACCAAATTAGGTACAATATTTCATCATAAATATTGCAGTATGGTATTTATTTATTTCAACCAAGCTAGTAGGAAAGATTGCACTATATAACCTTAACGTTGGGGTTAATCCCCACAAGGAACAGTTTGGGGGTAGGACTGGTAGGTATCCCTCCCTCTCACTTTCAAAGTGTCTAACTTGCAAATACCGTGAAGGTTGAGGTATAGTATGGAATGGAACATTTGTTTCACATTCTTGATAGGTGCCTAGAATGCCTCATTGAAACAATGTCCAAAAAAGTACAATCCAAGACAGGAAGATAAACTTCATTAATCTTAATATATTAAAAGGGATGATAATTGGAAGAACGACTCCAAAACCATGATCATAATTCCTATTACAAATCCTGTTGCAATTGCTTGAGCCCTCGCATAAAAATAATTAAACTTATAGGGTGTTTACGTAGACGAAAGGTCCAACTTCGAAGAGGCCAGGGTGCTCATTAGATTTAGCTATAGGAGCACCAGAGGTGCCTTTGTTAGTATCAGTTGGGAAAATGCAGTCATGTTCGCCATGGCCGGGGCTGTCAAGGTACACTCTGCAGTCATCGCTGACACGTTTGTATGGCAAGTCGATGAGGAAGAAACCTTCATTATCCGTCACTGTTGACTTGATACGGAACCAGGGACAGTACACCTCTACTCTTGCCCCTGTCAATTTACCACAATTTCTATGTGTCATCAATTTTAATCAATGGAAATCTATCTTACAATGTTATGTGTTGAAGTATAGCGTTCTCAAACAACACATACGAGTGCCTCCCATTGATAAAAGAAGTTAAACACCAAAGGATCTACTCGATCTTATAGCCATAAAGTTTTGAGATGGACTTCCTTGGACTTTTAAAGTGACTTGAGTATTATTAACAAACAATAGAATTGATTTTAAAACAACTTTTTCAGATAACTTGCATCAAATAAGAATAAACTTACCGATTATTACTGCTAGTTATTACCGCTAAAATGCATATAGTAAGAAGATTAACATAGATATAGGCCTTGTTTGGTTGACAAACAAATTCATGGGAATTTTAATTTTCTAGGAAATGAATTTATGCATGCTTGTTTGGTTGACAATAATGTAGGAATTGGGACTTCTTAGGAAGTTCCACTTCCCACAAAATGGAGGAATTAACTTACCTAGTCCTCCCTAGGTAAGTGGAACTTCCCATAGGAAGTGGAAATTCCTATATTTAACCAAACAATTTTTGAAAATTCCTATAAATTACAATTTCATAGGAATTGAAATTTTATAGGAATTTCTACTTCCTACATCCAATCAAACAAGGCCATATTGTGAATATGCTATGCAAGAACTCGCGTTATATACCTTCTAGCGGAATCCAATTATTCCAATCATTGTTATTTACGCAGAAGATGGTGCCTCGGACCTTAATATCACTTCTTTCTGGGGCAAATACTGGCATATCTACGCTAATGTCGCCGTTAACATTGTTATCAAGAGACGTAATAATACCTAGAAATGCAATAACAACAATGGTGTCTAAGAAGATATTAGAATAAGAAGTCATTGCTGTGAAATTTTAAAACCTTTGTTTTTCAACCTTAAAAATTTTATATACTTCTTTTATTTGGTACTACATACAATATTACAATATTCTTTGACTTCTTATTTATAAGACTTGTACGAAGTTAATATGTTAACTTGTTTTTCAAGGTATACGTGTATCTTATGATGTGCATGTTTTACAATTTATTTAATTAATATACTTTTGTATGTTCTGGAATTTTATTTTTGCTGCTCTTAGCTACGGTACGGCCTGCGGGCGACTAGTTAAGTTCACGTTTGTTGCCGGCGCAACTAAATGATTTGCACAGCACTAAATCTTTATGTCAACTCACTTATCGACCAACTAATATACTAAAATTGTCGCTTTACTATGAACGATGTGTCCTTCAGAAGTATCGATCAGTTGATGCTCATGGACACGTAGTGATGGTAGCAAATGATTGAGTATGCTAATTGATTTTGGGCTTCAATCATTAGCTTAAACTTTTGATTGAGTTGGTCTTTAAACAGTAAAAGAATTTAATACTTAGGACCGGCCTCATCAAATGAATCCTTAGTTACGCATATTGTAAAGGCAACTATTAGTTTAGATGAACTACTACGAGAGGGGGGTGAATTGTAGTAGGTTCCAGTTGGTCAATCTTTTGCGGAATATAAAACAAAATTTAAAAGGAACTTAAAGCACACAACAAGTTTTACGAGGAAACCTTGCAGGGCTCAACTGGAAGTAAAATCTCGACCCTTCTCGGGATTTGCAAACCAAAGCTTCACTGTAATAGGGCAACTCCTAGTCACCACCTATTACTCACAAACCTTTCTCACAAGTTCCTACCCACCAACTTGCTACACTCACAAGCCACTACCCGTAAGCTTGCTACCTCACAAGTTCCTACCCGGAAGCCTGCTACACTCACAAGTTTCTACCCAACCTAACAAACTTAGGTTCACTCAGCACTTAAGTTTCTACCCGGACACTTGCTACCTGATAGGACCCTATCCTACCCAACCTAAGTACCACACTTAGGTTCACTCAGCACTCCCAGAGTGCCTACACTCTACTTCTCAAGAAGCTAAGCTCACTCACTGTGCACTCACAACTACAAATTAATTATAGAGAATTCACACTCACCCCAAAAACCAATTACAACACAAAGACTCACTCTAATATATAATTGGAAAGCTATTCATGAAACCCGAAATCAAAATGATAAAGCTTAAACCTTTGGCAAAGTTACTATTAAGCACTTAGTGGTTTTCACGCTAAAACTCTCACTTCACTTCGAAGAATTTCTTCCTTATTTATAGAAGACGTCAACTAGCAAAGTAGGGTTTTGATAAAATGATAAGTTAAAGATAAATAAAAAATTCAAACTTATCATATTAAAACAAAAATCAAGTAAACTTACTTTTGTTTTTAAGAAAACCTTTTCTTAGTCAAATTCGTTTTTATAAAAGATAGAGTTTTATATGAAAAAGATAAAACCAATTAAAACAGATTATAAAAGATAAAATCAAGTAAAACGGATTTTAAAAGATAAAATCAATTAATTTTTTTTTCATAAACTCAAGATAATCTTTTACGAATTAAATAGCTTGCCAAGCTCTATCTGATTTCTTATAAGTCTCATGCATATCAATCAATTATATATTTACATCAACCCTAAATAACAAACTTATCTTTAATACAACCTAAGTTATGAAGTTCATCTTTCAATTGATATCTCGAGCTCTGCATTGGTTCTTGATTCTTGAAGTCACGTTCCAGCATTACACTAGAACTCACAGACCAAGTCATTACAACCTGCTGTCATTCATCCCCAGCATTACACTGGAACTCGCAGACTAAGTCCTGTTGGAACTTGTTGTCATGCTTCTGTTAGGAAGCTCTTGATATGTTCCTGTTAGGGAACACCTTGTAGTTCCATCCAGCTTTGTTTAGAGAACTTCTTTCTAGAACTCTTCCTCTGATCTTACTTGCCATCCTTAGTTTTCTTAAGTTCCTCTGTTCCAAACCTCACTTCAACTCCCAGAGTTTACTCATTCTGCAAAGATCAAAACACTAGAAAAATCTTATTAGATAGAAGTTTGCTCAACCATCAACATCATCATCAAAACCTCTTGAGGGTCAACAACAACTATATGGTGTACCTTGTAATCCTATCTCTCGGCGGTATAGAGTTGGATGGTGTTGAAGTGTAACCTATTCTAACAAAACATGTAAGAGCCCCACACTGACAAAAGAAGAGAGAAACATTTTACAAGGTTAAGGGACTCCAACACTTGTATTTAATAGATGGCATTCTATTGGGACTGGGTTTTGTGGCAACATAATCTTTTCTTGAATTTTTTGCTGTGAATAATTTGGTAGGCTTAGCTTGACGTAAAGAATTTTATGCAACTTTTTTGGCAGTTTGTTCTTTCAATGGCATAGGTGAAATCATTGAAATTCTATTTAAATTTGATTGTGGGAATGTGAATGTGAAATTGTATGATCTTTGTTATAAATATTGTTACAACTCTTGCAAGGGTATTAGTCAATACTTAAAAGTCATGTTTTGGACTGCATATTGATTTGTGATTTTAAGATAGATCAGAAATAATTTATATACAAAAATGGCGCTAATGATCATCATTTTAGTTTGTTCGTGTGGAGCCGTGGAAGTTCTTCAGGTAATGTACAATTGCTTTCTGGTTATGTTTAGTTTTTTGTAATTCTTTGTACAAAGTATTTGTCACTATAACACTATGCTTATATTAGCTTTATTTGAGTTTGATCTCTTTTATTGCGTATAAAAGTCTAATCTAGTCTTGGCTTATCACCAAATTAGGTACAATATTTTCTCACGGAGCATTTAGAAAAAAAAAATCCTTAATTAGTTGAAACAAGAGGAAATACTATTCCCCTACCTTACTCCGTAAGAAACATGGTATGAAACTTTTGTTTGGCACTTGTGGCAGGTGCCTAAAATGTCGTCTCATTGAAATAATGTCAAACAAGAAAGGAAAATCGACAATAGTAGTCTTAACTTTGACCGTCTTTTTTTTTAAGACTCCTAACTTTCAATTAACTTGGAGCAAACTCAATTTATAAGGTTTTTATCCTAAATCAACCACAATTTCCAATCAATTGTTGACATGATCAATTCCAATCTCAGATTTATGTTCTTGACTAATTAAAAAGGTCTCAATAATTGATTATATATCTCAAGCTTCAAATTCGCTTTAATTTCTTTTATTTTTTAATCACATAGGAAGGATTCGTGGTATATTATTGGGAGAGGAAAAAGATAAAGAAAAAGAGAAATCCATGCATGCAATGAGAACGGGATATAGATTATCATTGGTACTTACTTGCAATGTCGTCTCAATGTTCATCAAACCATTATGACATTTATTGCTGGCATTATTTTGATCATCATTTTTTCATTCAATTTAAAGACTTAACATCACTCGACAGCAATTTTGATTCTAAAAGTTCGAATGACCAAATATTAAAAAAAATTATAGTAAATTTTATAATCTCCATCAATTGACAAAAATAGAGGGTATAAAAATTACCCACCCTTTCTCTCAACTCACAATCTCATATGACACTTTGATGAACTAAGCATCATCCCTAATAGAAGAGCAAAATAAAATACATTTCAGAGACAAATAAAGTGCAATTGAAAACACACAATTATATGTAGTAGTAATTATTAATCTATCTCGATACATAGATTGAATAGATCATTGAAAGGAGTTCAAAGTCACGCACGATCAATTCCACTTTCAAATCCCGTTACGTTGCAATTGCACGAGTCCACAGCCCTTGTCACGTAAAAGACATTAAACTTCTGCAGGAGTGGTTCTGTAGACGAAAGGTCCAACTTGGTAAATGCCATTCTCATCAGATTTAACTATAGGAGCACCAGATATGCCTTCGTTGACATTAGTTCGGTAAATGCAGTCTTCTTCGCCATGGCCGAATGTATCAAGGTACACTCTGCAGTCGTTGTCGAAACGGTTAGCCGGCAATTCGACGATGAAGAAACCATTTTCATCCGTCGTTGTTGACGTAGTTTCGAACAAGGGGCAGTACACGTCTGCTATTTGCCCTGTCAATTTTACACAAATTTATGCATCATTATTATTATTATTACAAATAGGGACTATGTGATAAGGAGAGAGAAAGAGTGAAAACATATACGTAGTACAAATAGTCAAATGTTACAATATTGTTGAAACTTCTTAATATAGTAATTGTTGCAACATTAATTAAACGGAGCAAATATATATATTTGTCTTACTTTCACAATATTCTCGTAATACTACCACTGTTTCTTATTAGTTGCAACACAGAGTTATTATTTGTGAGACTTGAAAAATTCCTTTATTACAACTAATAAAAAACGAAGGTAATACAAAACATCCAAAAGTATCATAAAACTAAGTGTATATCCCACAATTGACGCATTTATTTATGAACAAATTTAAAAAGTGGTCGTAGTATAGACTAACTAGTCAAATAATGACTTATAAACAATACAAAATTAAGTGAAATGATGTATACTAACATAACTACTTTATTTATTTATTTTTTTACGTTAATGTATATATAATTTTGACCATAAATATATTTAATAAAATTATAAAAATCCAATGTAACGAGAAGTCGAAAATATATATCAATATGACAATTTATATATACTCTGTAGTTACTAACTTACAATATTTTACATACATGACAACATTGAAATTTGTATAAAAGTACACTTTAAGTTAAAAGATAAATAGTAAAAAAAAAAAAAAAAGTCAAATTGTTTCGATTATGCTGAAATGGAGATACATTGGACAAACTCAAACCCGAAAATAAGTCCAAGGTTTCCTTTATAGTGAAATGAGGTTGGCCGATCTCCATTCTCATTTTATGAACCTATTTGACCTACTATGGTTATCCTAAATTTTATTCATTAGACATTATAAATGTTGAATATGTTTTGAAAAGTATTCTAATAAAAATCATATATGGTTTATCTTGGTTTTGAAAACTATTTGTACATGCATAGAATAAGAAGACGAACATACAGATTAATTAGCACACATATTTACCTTTCAACGGAATCCATTTATTCCATTCATTCCCCTTAACGCAGAAGATGGTGCCTCGAACCCGAATAACATCGGTGTTTTCCCGGGTTACTAATGGTACATGTACACTAATGTCAACAGCAGACACAATACCCAAAAATGCAATAACAACAATGGTGGCTAAGAAAATATGAGAATAAGAAGCCATTATTGCTGTAACAAACCTTGTTTTTCAACCTTAATATATTTATTTTATAAAAATTTGCTTATTTTTTGGTGCTACATACAATATGCCTGCCTTGTTATATATACTAAGCTATTATGTATTTTATAATTTGCATGATTTACATGTATATTAGTTTTTTAATATACTTCTTATATGCTGGAAATGTTTTGTATTTCTTAGTTACGGCCTGCAAGCGGTTAGTTAAGCTCACGTTTGCAATTGTTGCCAGCGGAAATAAATGATTTGCACAGCACTAATTATTACAACCTCCGTTCCTTTATTTTTGTCCCATTGTCATTTTTTGGGTCAAACTTTGAAAACTTTGACCATAATTTACAGTTAATCTATAAAAGATAATATAGTTATGAGCGATCTTGTTAGATTCATCTCATTGTATATTTTATTAATATCATGTTTTTATAATTTTTACGTATATGGAAATAAAGATATAGACGTTTTAAAACGCGTCTTGGAGACCGCGCACAGTCAATGGGCCAAAAAATAGGAACAGAGGGAGTATTTTGCATGCCAACAGATTTCCCCACTAAACAATTTCATTGAATATATTTGTCTGTATTTTTGAAAGTTTGACAAAGTTATTACCGACTGTTTTTAGAAATATTTTTGAAATGTAGGGTTTTCTTTGTTAGAAGATAAGTCTAATAAGTGAATGCCAATTATTGATTTGATTACACAATGCTCATATAGGTCCAAACACTTGTGAACTCATATGGCTCTATGTGAGTAATTATTGTATTATTAGTGTAACTTATGGCTATAAATACAATGCCATAGAAGTAAGAATACAATGATAACACTACAACAATTTCACCCATCTTCTTTCACTCTTTTACTCCTTTTATTAATCAAAACTTTTCTATCGGTAAATTCTTTAACACGTTATCAGCACCAGTTTTCAGTCAGGTATATTTATACCTACTTCTAAAAATTTATAACAAATAATACTATCTACTTCTAAATGTTTCGAGGAGTATGCTCTATAGTTGCCCATATTTGGGATCCTCTATAACAGAAACTCAAACATTTACTATATATACCTCAAAAACAACGGTGAAAGTTCTCTTACTTGTGAATTTACTACTATCATCTTTTGTTTATTCATGTTGATGTTTCTTTGTTTGATCCATGTTGATATTACATACTCATTTTACGTAAATTTTTATCTTAGTTATTATAATTGCTAAGTAGTAGCTTTGCATGCATATTATTATTAACTAGATTAACAAAAAGATGCAGCCTTTTACACTTATTATTTTTCTTACTTTTACATACTTTTTGTGTTTCTTTCCGTTTTCGAACCCATGATCTTTTATAGATATTAGGGCTCTCGGACCACTATGGCTTGCATTCCCAGTGTGATAACCTTTTACAATTATAAATATATATATATGGACCATAATTTTATGCCAGTACGTTAGACTATTATATGATATTTTTACAGTTGTACAGAACAGTAACGGATAAACCTACCTCTATAAAAGACGGATTTTTCCCCCAATTTCACCACAAATCCCTTATCCTTTCCCACTTTTTATCCAAAAATCACCTAAAAAAAAAAAAAAAAATAAAAAAAATTCACCCCCTTCTTCTCCGATATGTTCCCCGACGACGGCAACCAAAACACCCAAAACACCCACAACTTCACTTTTGAGGAAGATTTAATGAAGATAAAACAATATTTCCTTCTAATTACGGCGCTTGTAATTTTATTAGTAGCAATATTAATTTTTGTCATTATGTATAAGTAAAACTCACTTATTTTGTCGTTTTAGTATATTAAAAGCTTGTTTTTGTTTTATTATGTATGTTTGTTGTTATTAATCATCATTGTATAATATTACCGTTATCATTATAATTATTGTTACTACTGTCATTGTTGTCGTTTTGCTGTTTTTTTTGCAACTAACATGATTAATTTTTGTCTAATCATATAATTACTCACAATAATAAACCAAGGGGGAGAAAAGACTATATTATTTATGGTTTATTATTATTAAATTTAATTATCACGTGTCTTATTAACTTAATTATAAATATGGAAGAACTAAACATGTGAGTTGTACATATAATTTGTTATTATAAACTAATTATCACGAAATTTGTTGTAGCTAAAATGGGAGACCTTATGAAAAGACAGTTCAGCATCTTAGATTTATCTGGAAAGAAATTTCTGGAATGGAAAGTGGACGCAATGATGAATTTGAAAGCTCAAGGCTTGGAGCACACTGTTAAAGAAAATAAAAGTCCCTCTGGTCAAACAACTGATACTACCACTTCTTCAATGACTGTTGCAAAACCTGTTACTGAACAAGATAAGGCAAAAGCCTTAGTGTTGTTAAGGCATCATTTACATGAAGGCCTTAAAACTGAGTACATGATGGTTGAAGATCCCAAAGAATTATGGGATTGCCTTAATGAAAGATTTGGACACCACAAAAGGGTGCTCCTTCCTAAGGCATTATTTGACTGGACAAATTTACGGTTCCAGGATTTCAAATCTGTAATTGATTATAATTCAACCATACATGAGATAGTGTCTATATTGAGATATTGTGATCATCCAGTTTCGGATGAACAGATGATTGAAAAAACACTCACTACCTTTCATGCAAGTAACATACTGTTGCAAGAACAATATCGTGAAAGAGGTTTTAAAAAGTTCAATGAATTAATGAGTGTATTGCTTGTTGCGGAACAAAATAGTGAACTTTTGTTGAAAAATCATAACCTGAGACCAACTGGGTCTTTGGCCACTCATCATGAGGCAAATGCAACAAATTCCTATCCACCCGAGTCAAATGCTACAAGAAGAGGTGGACGTGGAAATTACAATGGCCGTGGAAAAGGCCGTGGAAATTATCGCGGACGAGGCCGAGGACGTGGTAGAAACAATTTTCAAAGAAACAGTAATTTCAAAAATTTTGAAAAACAGAAGGGACAGTCATCTGGAAGCCACAAACAAACTCTTTCAAAAGGAAAAGACACATGTTACAGATGTGGCATGACAGGACATTGGGGACGTACCTGTCGTACGGCCAAACATTTGGTAGACCTTTACCAGGCTTCTGTAAAAGGCAAAGAGAAAAATGCAGAAGCAAATTATGTTAATGAAGAAAATGCTCCATGTCCTACCCTTGATGTGTCCGATTTCTTCATGGACAATGCTGAAACTGGGAATGATTTCATTCTTGGAGAAAACAACAATGCTTAGGTTCCCCATCTACTAATGTAACATATGCTATGTTTTAATGTATTTTTCTTAGTTCCCTGTATTTTAAATTTCTAGTCATGTACTTTAAATCTTTATCATCAATAAACGTTTGTATGATATTATTCTAAACTAATCTTAAATTTATTTTATGAAGATATGGATCTACCTGAAGTTAGTTCCGAATATCAATGCCTTTTGGACAGTGGAACAACACATACTATCTTAAAAGATAGAAAATATTTTTCACAACTAAAGTTGTTTCAAGCAAATGTAAACACCATTTCCGGGTCAGCTAAATTAATTGAAGGATCTGGAAAGGCTTGTATAATGCTTCCAAATGGAACAAAATTAATAATCAATAATGCTTTATATTCGAGTAAATCTCGAAGAAATCTCATAAGCTTTAAAGATGTACGCCAAAATGGCTATCATCTAGAAACAATGACGACAGATCAAAAAGAGTATATATGCCTCACGGCAGAAAAACATGGCAAGAAACATATATATGAGAAATTGCCAGCATACTCTTCGGGGTTATACCGTATAAACATACGACCCGTGGAAATCAATATGATATCTAACCAGAAGTTAGATGACAAACATTTGATTATTTTATGGCATGATCGTTTGGGACATCCAGCAACTGGGATGATGCAAAGAATAATAGCACATTCAGTTGGACATTCAATAAGAAATGTCAAAATTCCCCGATCAGATGAATTAACATGCTCTGCATGTTCACTTGGCAAATTAATAATAAGGCCATCTATGAACAAAATTGCTACTGAATCTCCAAAATTCTTGGAAAGAATTCAGGGAGATATATGTGGGCCAATTAATCCAGCATGTGGACCATTTCGATATTTCATGGTTTTAATTGATGCCTCTACACGATGGTCACATGTTAGTCTACTTTCAAGTAGAAATGTTGCCTTAGCAAAATTACTTGCCCAAATCATCAAATTAAGAGCACAATTCCCAGATCATACAATAAAGAAAATAAGACTTGACAATGCTGGGGAATTTACATCCCAAACATTTAATGATTATTGTATGTCAATTGGAATTGATGTTGAACACCCAGTAGCTCATGTTCATACACAAAATGGCCTAGCTGAATCACTAATTAAGAGATTACAATTGATTGCAAGACCATTATTAATGAGGTCAAGATTGCCATCATCTGCTTGGGGACATGCTATAATACATGCAGCAGCGCTAATTAGATTGAGACCTACAGCTTATCATAAATTCTCACCACTACAACTTGTTTGTGGTCGAGAACCAAGTATCTCACATCTAAAAATCTTTGGTTGTGCTGTATATGTTCCCATTGCTCCACCCCAACGAACAAAAATGGGTCCACAAAGAAGGCTGGGAATTTATGTCGGGTTTGAATCCCCCTCTATAATTAAATACCTTGAACCATTGACTGGTGACTTATTTACGGCTAGATTTGTGGACTGTCACTTTAATGAAACAGTATTCCCAGCCTTAGGGGGAGAGAAAGTGGACCCACATAAGAAAGAAATTGAACTCATTTGGAATGCAACACAACTGTTGATGTTAGACCCACGAACAAATATGTGTGAACAAGAAGTTAAGAAAATTGTTCATTTACAAAGTGTTGCAAATCAATTGCCCGATGCATTTGTAGACACAAAGAAGGTGACAAAATCACATATACCAGCAGAAAATGCCCCTGCACGTATTGAAATCCCAACTGGTAATAAGGCCATAGAAAATGAATCTCAAGCACGCAGAAAGCGTGGAAGACCACTTGGTTCAAAAGATTCTA